TGATTTCGTGAAGCATTGCGCCAAAATATTCAGAATGCAAAATGTGCGGTTTTATGCAAATGACACACTTAAACCCCAAACCACCGTACCCCGCTGCAAGCTGCCAGCCATTTGGCAAGTGCCAAGTCGACACATAGCTGCGCAGCATCTTAAGTTGAACGCCACAACTTGCGGCAACTTGTCTGCGGAGCCAAACCATTTCTCTGCGGGTGTGAGATCTAATTTGGTGCTGGCGTTTCGCTGGAATTTCACTCGCGTTACTCTGTTTCGCATTTTGCAAATACTCGAATTTCGAAATGCGCACTTGTGCAAGCACACACCCAAACACCCACTCACGTTGATGCGTGGTTTATGGATGTTTATGACATAACTACTCGGTTTATTTGGACGAGCGTACGCCAAAGCTACCGGGACTCCGGCTAGATATTGCAGAAGACCACTTGCGCATTCGTTACCATCTCACGAGGGGGAAAGGTAACTCAATCATTAAATATATTCTTCTTCTTATTTATAGGCATAGACAGCGCTTACGCGGTTATGGCCTAGTTTACAACAGCGCGCCAGTCGTTCTACATTTTCGCTGGTTGGTGCCAATTGGAGCTTCCAAGTGTAGCCAGGTCCTTCTCTTTCGAACGGAGTGCTGTTCCCTTCGGCTACTGCGTCGAGTACTTTCAAGGCTGGAGTGTTTTCATTCATTCGGACCATAACTCTTCAGCAGAGCCGAAGACTCGAAGACTCGTAACGCCGACTCATCAGATGATGAGTGCCTATTAGAGTTTTTTCTTCGTCGAGAGTACTTTACTTCTCAATTGCCTAGGCAGTCCGAAGTAGCACCTGTTAGATTTCGAGGCTGATATTGTTGTTGGTGTTAATGCTGGTTCCAAGATAGACGAAATTATCTACGACTTCGAAATTATGACTGTCAACAGTGCCGTGGGAGACAAGTTACAAATACGTCTATGGCACTTAAAAATCCAATGATATGTTCAAACTGTCTAAAGTCTACAAGAACAAATCAATGGGTTTACTTTCGCTCTCTGAAATCTACTACTATATACTACACTTATTGAAATCGAGTTCTTGAAAGCGTTTTTTCATTATTGGAATAATTAAAATAAACAAATACAAAATGGGAATACATTACAGTTAAGCATTTTTGAGTACAACAAATACCATTCATTATGTTCTTATGAATTCGGTCGGCCATCTTATTCTCTTTCATTTGGGCTTAAGCCATTACACAAATACTGTTGTCCTTTATGTTATGTATGAGAAACGAGGAAAAGTAAGTTGAGTAAGTATGTGTGTACACATATGGACTGAGGTGGTGGGTGCGCAGAGCGCATTTAAGAAGCAATTGAGCAAAACTTCGTAGGCTAGGCGCCAACTTTTGTTCAGATTATTTACTATTTTCGTTTTTGCTTCTCAGTTAATTAGTTTTGAGAATGACTGCGAAAGCAAAGTTAAGATTTAATTTTAACAATGAATTTGCATTTTATAGGCATTGCCTTTATGATTTTTCAGGAATTTGCTTACCTGTAATTCTGATAAATAGCAGCTTGAACAACAGAAATTAATATTTCAATAAAATAAATGACGACATGAAAATAATACAGCTAAATAAAGCTGAAAAAGGGAGAGCAGAGTTGATAAAAATTGGTTTCCATATGAACCATAATTCAACATGTGGGTATCCTACAGTCAAAAACATAATAACTTATGTCGTTGCATTTAACAGTTGGTAAAACGTCTAGAAGAATTATTTCACTGTGATCTACTCTATTACAAAAGCATATAAAATCCAATGCAAAATAAACGAAATACTATTTGATAATTACAAATTTATCGTGTCAAGCTGTCATGATATTTTTGTTCAGTATTGTTTGGAATTTCATCATGCAAAGCGTACGCCTGAACAATGTTTACAAATCGTTCAATTTCATTACAAAAATTCTCGTTCTGTAAAATACAATGAGGAAAATCTAGCAGCCATAGCGCAGAGGGTACACGAAGCCGTGGAGAGTCGATTCGGAGTAGCTCGCAGCAACTTGGACTAACATATGGAACGACTCGAATTCCCAAGCGACATCTTATCGCTCTATGGGTTCTCGAAAAGTTCCAAGAAGATCGGACGTTTTCGGTTCAAATTTTGTTCAGCAATGGGGCCACTTCTGGCTCAATGGGTATGCAAACAAGCGAAATTGCCGCATTTCAGACTAAGAGCAACTTGAAGAGATTCAATTTTATACAGAAAAAGAGCGGTTTTGTGTGGTTTGTAGGCAGGTGGAATCTTGATCGTAATGGCCACCATTATCGCGCCATGATAACCGACAATTTGATATCTGAAATTGAACTCGCAATGGATTTTCTGAGAGAACACTTCGATGAGCAGATAATTTCACCTTTTGGACCGGCTGATTAGCAACCAAGTTCATGTGTTGTCACACCGTTAGACTTTTTCCTATGAGATATAATATGTAAAATCTAAAGTCTATGTGACAATGCCACTTCGATTCAAGGCTTGGAGCAAAACATCACGCGTGTCATTCGCTAATTATCAGACAAAATCTTCGAACGAGTCATCGAAAATTGAACTCAACGAATAGATCATCTGACACGTAGCCGCGGCCAACTTTTGAAAAAGATAATCTTCAAAAAATAAATGTCAAAGAATGTTCTTTCCAATGATAATAAACATTCCACATTAAGTTTGAAGCTTTCAAGTTTTTTCTATAAAGAGTAGGGAGCCTCGAAATGAATCATCCTTTAATAAGTCCAATAAAAATTAATCCATTATTTTTCCCGTGGATAGCTGAAGTAATCAGTTTCTCGCGTTCTGCAATCGGGTTACCCCACATGTATAGCCCCAAAGAGAAAATACGCCACAATTCACTTACTTCTATTTTCGATAAATACGAAAACTCAATCCAGCCAGCTGGAGGTGTGACTAATCACAATTTTCGATTCAACGACTCCTTTCCGATAATTTCGATTTCAAGGATCCTCTACGTTCTGGAAGCCCAAGTGTCAAAAAAATCGATAAAAAATCGATAAGATAATGAAAATCGTCGAGCTCGGTCATCATGTAACCACGTTTCGATTACCCAGCAACTAAGCATTGTACGAAATGAATGAATATCTGCTGAGTCGCAAAAAATCGGTCCATTTCAGAAGGGAATATTTACTGATTATAAATAGTAAACAACTTACAACAACGTCAAGGAAAAACAGTCGTAGTAGATCGCACTGACGCTTCACAAATGTTGGTCAAGGCAAGATTGACAATCAGGAAAGTTTTGCTTGGGGTTTTTAGCTGGAAATCATCTACAATGAGCTACTCACCTATGAACAAACTTTTAATTCGCACTATCAACAATGAAAGAAGCAACAATAACTTGAAGGTAAATATAACCCGAAGGTGCCACAAGCGGTTATCTTTCGCCAATAGCAGAGTAATTGTATTCCATCAGTACAACAGCAGACCGCACACATCAATAGGAACACCATAGCAACCCCGGGAACTTGATAAACGAGCTGTTATGCTTCCACCCTATAGTCTAGACTTGGTATCAAGTGATTATTAAATATTTATGTCCAAGGCAAATGATTTTGCTGTTGAAACATTCGCCTTAATGAAGCTTGTGAATATCGGCTGTCCCAGTTTTTTGTCAATAAGGACTAGGGTTTCTATAAAACTGCTTTCAACATAGCAACAAACTATCACACAAAATGTTGAATATTTCGCCTTAATCGGATAACTCCAACTATGCTCAATCAAACAAAAAATAATGGCTCTCTTTACTATTCCTTATCAAAACTCAAGCGCAGTTTGACACATTTTCAAAGCGCCAACTTAAAAAAAAAATTATTTTTTCTTTAAAAAATACGAAACACACTTTAAGTGGTGTGTATCAATCGATAACGAATGGTTGTGGGAACGAAAAGGACCTACATATGTACTATTGCACTAATATAATGTTTAAAAATCCGTGCGAAATTTTAAGTCTTCTTATCGCCAAATGCTTGATGGGCGATAAAAATTTCGGTCACGAAGTATGTATTATATTTTTAAGACGAAATAGCTTATTTTTTATGATGACGCTTTCAGCCATAAAAAGACGTACGTATGGCTGAGTGCATTTGCACTATCTGGGCGAGGTTATTAAATACAAAGTGTAGAAGACGATAAAGTGTGTAACAATGTCGACGCACACATTAAAGGTATCATAGCCCGTGCTTAGGTGAGGTCATGCGTGAGATTGAAACAAATTTACGACGGAGGCGAGCAATTTCACTTCGCTTTGAGTTGAAAATTCTATTGTAAGCTTAGTCATCATTTGCAATGATCGCTGGATTTCCAAACAAATTGTGAATTGATACAATTTCAGAGGAAAAAACGCTGAATTCCAAGAAATTCTTGGAATCCAGAAATAGTATTTATGTAAATTAAGAGAGATGGCAATCATGAACTAGAATTCATGAAGGAATTCAGACATGTATAAAGCATGGCTGCACTGCGGAGTAGAGAAAGTATTTGCCACTGCAATGCAACAGTTCAATGCACTTCCTGCTTGCCGCTTTGTTAGCGTCAGTTGCTATTACAACTACATCGTTGCCATATTTTCAATTGAATCAATGCGAAACATCTATGCTCCAATGTGTGCTGCTTTGCACATGTCATTTCAAGTGCATTCGCTCCTCGAGTGTGTTAGTTTGTTCGATTGCCAATGCGGCTGCACTTGAGAATACTCTCTTGCTCTCCATTGCTCCTGTTCGCTGTCAGCTAATCAATTACCTCGATTTAATATAACCGTGAGTCTCAAGAATGATAACGATGCGGTGTTTGGAATCTCAGAGACCTTAGGCAACGGTCTTGTTAGCATTTATAGTGCGACTGTTATGGGATAATTTGTTGTTGAATATTGGAGAGTTGAAGTAGTTCATAAATATGGGTAGGCATATTGAGCATTTTTGAAAGCATTAGCTTTTGTTGTACTCACCTTTGTACATGGGAAACTCGCCGTCACTGTGGCTGTGGCACAGCATCATTGGTGAACGGCAACGTGAGCGTTCCACACTCGTGGCGACCTGTATGCTGCCCCCGCCACCACCACCACCRTTAGAGTTCTTCGCATTCGCATTGGACGAGGCGGCAGCTGCTGCTGCTGCTACGGCTGCGGCGGCCGCGGACGCCGAATAAGAGCGTGAAACGTGYGAGAGTGTGCGACGCCTTATGGTGGTGGCGGAGTGTTGCGATGACGAGCGGTGATGTTGCGGCGTGGAATGCTGGCGATGGTGATGGTGCTGCTGTAGTTGTGGTTGTTGCTGCTGAGCTTGCTGCTGCGTAGCCTGTTGCTGCTGTTGTTGTTGATGTTGTTGTTGCAATTGCTGCTGTTGTACCACAGCCGCCACCATGGACTGATAGCGATGACTGCCGGCACCGCCCAGCGAGACATGATGCTGCAACGGCGGATGTGCGTGTGGCGCCAACGGTGGATGCGAGTGCTGATGCTGCAATTGCTTTTGTTGATGCTGCTGCTGTTGTTGTAGCAGTGCACCGCCAGCGCCTTGGTGAAGCACATGCTGATGTGCGTGTGTATGGGTGTGCGCGTGGGCGTGTTGGTGCGGATGCGAATGGGTCACATGCAAATGCGAATGCCCACCGCCACCCGTAGCCAAATTATTGCCACTAGCCGAGCCTATGCCACTGCCACTACCGGTGCCGATGCCGGTGCCGGTGCCAGTGCCGTTGCCGGCGCCAGCGCTAGCCGCGCTCTGTACATGTTGGTGGTGTTGATGGTGCTGCTGCATCTGCCGTTGTTGCAGCTGATGCATCAATTGTTGTTGCAATTGCTGTTGCAGCGGCTTAATGCCAGCGACTGTGGTGATTGGCGTTACGGTGGTTGTCGTTGTGGTGCCACCGCTGGCCAATGTCGTTGCGCTGGCGGAACCGTGACCGCCGCTGCCGGCGCTGCCAGCAGCACTCACAGCGACAGCCGGATTCTTCTCCCATGGCCCGTTATTATCTGCGGTATAATCCAGTTTGCCAAATACTTCGCCCCCTCGCACAGCTAACGGTGTTTGTCTTAGCCGAAATGAGCGCTTTTTGTATATTTGCAGACGCTTATCCTAGAAATGTCTTTGAGCAGTCAGCTTCGTTGCTGTTTTTATATCATTACTTCTTTAAGATTTAATTTATTGCGATTTTTTGGGTATACTTTTTTTTCTACATTTTCAATTTTAATCTTCTTAAATTTGATATTTTCTAAACTATTTGTGGGACTTTCGCACACGCGTGTCGTTAAACTTTACCAATTAAAATTACTTAATTAATAGCCGAGTACCGAACAACGCCAAACATTTCGCGCCAAACTTGCACGAACGCACAAAAACTCTTTGCACTTTGCTCGATTTGATTTTTCACTTTAATCGTCAGCAGCAGCCGCAGCGGCAGTAAACCAAAAACTCGCTCGCACGAGTGGAAAAACTTCGACACCTTTCATTTGAAAACCGATTATACGAGGATTTAGTATACGGCAGCGTCTTTCCAAAACAGCTGCAGTTCTTCATTCACATTTTCCTTAGTATTTTAGGAACTCAATAACTGTAAATGTTGCTGTCCTTGTTCTATATAATTTTTCAAACAAAAAGCGAAAAGTTATTTTTTATGGCTCTCTCATACCACCAGTGGGTATCTGTCGAATAAAACCGGAATAAAGTAAAGAGAAAACTGGGAAGAGTTGATAGAATCTTAGACTGAGATCTGTACTACTTTCAGAGGCGGATCCAGAGTGGATTTTTGGGGAGAGGGGGACCTATATAGTTTTGTACTTCCAACTCAAAGTCTTTTTCTTGGAGTGCCACTTATAATGGAAATAATGTTTAACTTTCAACTTTTGGGGGGGACTGTGGAGAGTGGATCCGACCCTGGCTAGTTTTAGGCAGAAGTAGGTGCTTTTGAGAGAACTGTTGCTCTATTTAAATAAACTAATAAACACTTTTTGGCGACTCCAATTTAATTCGGTCCGGAACTTTTTGGATAAACTAAAATGGCCTTCAAAGATGCTCTCCAAATGACTAGCTTAAAAACGGAACAGTAGTTATGTGGCTGAACTGAGATCAGGTTTAATAGTTTAGATGGTCACTAAAGAAGTTAAAGGTGAAAGCTTTCAATGTAGGGGCCTAAAAGAAGCAATAAGCGACAGAAGTCTAGTTGACAAAATTCGTCAAAACTGTATCGATGTGAGTTGCCTATGCAAGAAAGCTTCGATAGTGCAGCGTAAATATTATTTTCTTACTCTCAACCTATGTCCAGATGATTAGCGAAACAACCATTTAGAAGCTGTTAGCAACTAGTTTTCAATGGAATATACATACACATGTGGGTGAGGATGGACATATAAGCCTGTATGTATGCATGTACTACGATATAATAAAGCGGTGCACACGTTTCACCTTACTTTTTCGTATATTTGAAGATCGATATATGGGAAATGAAATTTTCGCTCAACAATTCTCTACGTAAGTATGTATATATGTATAGAGGCATGTTCGCCCGCAAATCACTCAAATTAATAAAATTAACGGCACTCCGACAAGATGCGAATTTATGTGCAATTTCTCTTTATATAGACATTTTCTGGTACATATATACATTTGTAAATATATTTTGTATTTTTTATTTCAAATATTGATACTCCACTTTTTACACACTGCTACACACACACATATATACTTAAGCACACACACTTAATTGGTGCCTGCGATAAACAGCAAACGTATACTTTTCAAATATTTGCCATAACATTACACCGTTGAAATAACAGCTGACAATGGCACCACATTAAAAGGCTCATAAAAGCTCAGCCGTAGAAATTTTGCGCAAATACTTATTTTTTATAACATAAAATTTTAGAGGGATAAGGTCGATGGCTTTTGATATTTATGTTTCACCATTTCACTAATTTCACTTTCTTTATCGCTTTCAAAGTAAACAAGCGAGCGCACACACACACAATCTTCACACACATGTACAATGTGTACCACAGAATTCGGTCGGTGGTCGCACTATCCTATCGTATTAACCGTATGGCCCGTCCGCTTACCAAACTGCGCTCTGGCGCTAACGAAACGAAACTGATTTGAATGAATTGATGTCATTCACACAATTGTCAGGATGCTGTATCCTTAAACGCAACTCGATGCATCGGTCCGTGTGGCTGTGTGCATCTGCTCGTGCTTGGCGAGAGTTGTAAGCGACTGGCTCGACCTCTCACAAAGCCAAACACTCGTTTCACGGTGATGCTGCTCCAATTTTGTCGGCAGTGGTCGGCAAAAGCTCGCCGCCATTCACATCCGGTAGTGGTGGAGACAATTTGAGAGTAAGAGAAGAGCGTAGTAATGAATGCGCTGCAAAGCTTTCGTTTCATTGGAGTATTGTTTCATTTTTGTACCAATTTAAAGGTCTCGGAGGACCCTCTTTGATTATGTTCAAATGTAGGTAAATTTGTATTGAAAACACTACCTTTGCATTGTATACATGTATGTGTGCAGGTACGTACAAAATTTGCATATTTTATTTAAGCATTTAAACTTTTTTTTTTTCATTTCATTTGACCCATTTCGTTTGGTAAGAGTTAATCAATTTATGCTACGCATCCGTTTCGGTTGGATGTGGCATATTTCCACACTTCAATAGAGTATTGTCAATGATGCTATTTGGCCTAGAAACTATTATACCCATTTTCACATTCAACTTTCTTTTCTACCTTTCCTATGCAACGCTGATGTTTTTCTCCAATACTTTTAAAAACATTCCCAATGGAAGGATTCGCCTCATTAATCGGGAAAAAGGAATGAAAACATGTGTGATAACGACATTATATCAAAAACTCTCAGAAACCTTTATCAATTACAGCAAGTGGAATATATTAAAACTATTGAGCAGAAACCTATCCGGAAACTGCAGACCGAATATTAAAGCGTGATCCATTTCCATGTTTTCGAAAAAACACGGAAACTTCAAATTCAATAGGAATGTTTATTATGATTTTAAAAAACATTCTTTGACATTTATTTTTTGAAGATTATCCCTTTATAATGTTGGCCGCGGTTACGTTTCAGATGGTCTATCCGTTGAGTCCAATTTTCGACAACTCCTTCGAAATTCGACTGGAAACTGGCGAATGCATAGACTTTAGACTATACATATCCCCAAAGGAAAAAGTTTAACGGTGTGATATCACACGATCTTGGTGCCCAATCGTCCAGCCCAAACCTTGAAATTATCTGCCCAACGAAGTGTTCTCTCAATAAACCCTTTGATTGATGCGATTGTTTAGAAATGGCGCCGCCTTGTTGAAACCAAATATCGCCGAGAGCACGAGCTTTAGTTTCAGACATCAAATAGTCGTTGACGGTTACATTCTCATCGACATTATTTGTGGAGGAGTATGGACTTTTGATTATACCGGCCTAAAAACCACACCACACCGTTGTTTTTTTCTGGAAGAAATGGCAGCTCTTGAATCTCTTTAGATTGCTCTTCGTCATAAATGCCACTATTTACACATCCATTAAGCCAAATATGGGGCTCATCGCTGAACAAAATCTTTTAAATAATCAGAAATCCAGTTGAGTATTACTACATACATACATTCAGGTTTAAATCGCACAAAGCAAAAAATAAGACTCAGTGGTTTCTAGTGCTGCAAACAGTATGTAAAACTACAAAGAGGTCCTCATTCGAGAACTGACATTCAAAATAAAGCGAACGGAGTTGCACTAATGAGACAAAACAGAATCAGATAAGTAGGACTAATGTATGGGTGAATGAACTTTCGCTAGCACACAAATGGCCAATCCGAATTGTTATTGTTGGTATTGGCTCTCAACAATCTACAGCACTTTCTCAAAAAAGCTCGCTCACATTCTCGTCACGATGACTTTGGCCGGAAATTGTGACACAAACAGCAAGAAACCGAAAGCCTTATCACAAATCGGTAACGACGCTGATGATAAGGATATCGTTTTTTATTGCCCAGACATGTTTTAATGAAGGTTGAATGATAAGCCATGCGCTTGTATTTGTGTAAACATTCACAGAAGAGCTGTAACATTACCACAGCAGAGCTTTTTACTCGAGTACACCAAATGGCACATTTCATTAAAGAAGGTTATGTTCGAATTTTAGTCAAAAAAAAAACTTTTCATAAATAACAGATCCGATAATTTGAAGTGGAAATTCGCCCGCATATTTTATACATACTTACATATGTATGTTTGTATATTCCATATATGTATGTACTTATTCCACAAATAAAATTGTCAAATACTTAAATAATTCCGCTTTATGTTTAACAAAATTTTATTGTAAAAGAATTGAATATTGTATTACAGTTACTTTCTATCACTTGTACTTTGAATGAGTCAAAATTCGCCAGCTTAAATTTTATTTCTAAATATTTTTATTTCCAAGAGGATTTCTTTACTAACCCGCTGGAGCTTGTGCAGTTCCTTAGAGATTAAATGCTTGTAGATTTCAATGCGTAGCTCGCGCGGAATTCCCATAAAACTTGGCAATGGAAAAGCGCCTAATAAGGTCAGCTGATCCATACGCAACGGCACAAATAATTCATTGCGCAATTGATTTTGCAGCTGATCTAACTTTTGATAACAGCTGTCTAGGCTGTTTTTACCTTCCGACTGGTCTATAACGTAGCGTCCGATAGACAGACAACTGCTACGCCCCAGCAAGTTTGTTGATGGATGTGGCGACAAGGTGAGCATCATAAAGTCACCCGTGACTAATGCGATTAATTTAGATTTCAATTTATCCTCCTCCTCGGATTTTAAAGCTGAAATAAAATTTTCTGAAAAATATGTTTCATGTGGGGAATCGCAATGATACGACGGCGGTTGACTACAACATATTTTCATATTGCTTTTATGAGTTGTGGACCAGGAGTCAAGGGGCACTAAGCCCTTTAGTCGATTAACAATAAAACTTTGCGGTATAAACCCCGTTTGTAGGGCAATAACGTAGACGGTCATAAATAAGCAATGCGCCTGAGACAGTACTTTATTTTCAGATAACTTATAAAGCTCGTTCAGACTCTCCAGCAATGATTTTTTCGCGTCATCGTGCTCGTTCCCTTCCATTGTCTGTAATTATATTATAAAATAAAAATTATATTTATTTTTATGTGCGCCTTCTTCATTAATCGTATATTATAAATTCATCAAATTTTATAATTTTTCATATTTAGCCACACATGCCTATAGAATATGAAAATACTGTAGAAGCGCATACCTATTTTGCTTATAAAACATCTCCCATCAACCTAACAGAGAATCAATGATCCCCTCCATTCAACCGTTTTTTATTTAATTTCCGTTACAAGTTATTGAATCTTAACGTAAAGAGATTAATTTCTGAAATAAATATGTATGTATGTAAGCTAGTAATGTCGAGATTGGTGAATGAGCTCTATTGTGAACGCAGAGGAATTTAAACCAATCGTGAATTCCCTCAGCGATCGTCCATATGATGTTATGGTTAATGTACATGTATGTATGTATGCATGTATATATTTACGTGAGTACATACATATTTACATGTGAAACATGTTTAATTTCTCACATGGAAAATTAAAGATTGATGGCAAATGATTCAGCCAATTTCCTTTTGCTAGATACTCACGAAGCAAATATAATATATGAATACGCACATATGCACAAACATATATAACGTGTGTGAAACTATTATTTACATATAAAATACTAATTCTCAAGCAGTATTAAAGCTATATTCACAAATGCATTGTAGTCACATTGCGCTGCTTACTACTTTCCACATGATTTAAATCATTGTGGTCAACCTAATTTAATGCTTTTATTCTGCTAATGAACTGTTTTGAAACCTTCATGAAATTGTGTTATGGAGTGTTTACCTTTACTCATGAAATCTTTTTACAGAATTAATGAACATTCTATGGATGTACTGCCCTACAAAACAGCGCTGCCACTTTAAACTTTTTCACTTGTCAACTATTTCACAATTTTTTATTTTGTACTAAAAATGTGCTAAACGTATTTTCTCCAAAAGAAATTCTTATAACCCTAAGTTAGACCAATTGGATTTAGATATTTTCTAACTTCATTCACATTGAAAAGTGGTCGTAACCCAACAAATAGAATTATGTTATGTTGATTGTTTTATTTAGTTACAAAATGAACTCAGCTGTGCTAATTTGACAATTTAAACGCGAATGGGTTGCCAATCCATTTATTATTCGAACTGACTGTTTCATTTTCGAATTTCGAAATACGATTTCAGTATTTGCTACACAAATTTCTATACATAGAAATATAAGTTTATTAAAGTACTTTTAAAGGAATGTGCCAAGATGTTTTCTGAAACATTTGTTGTCCATAATATTATTTTATTTTACATTAATTTTAATGTTATAGTATATCAGATCTTCCTAGAAAGCATTACCTAGAAATATTTAAAATTGAAGATTTACTAAAACAGCCAGTTATTTTGATTTAAGGTTCTTTTCATAAAAACTTCATCAAACAAATATGTTTTTACTGTTATCTTTTTCCAAAGCGCTTTCTTCTAAATCGGTCTGTTCGTTAGGTCCATTTTGGATGTCCTCTTTGTAGCTCTCCATGTTCCTCTTTTCTAGTTCTGCATAAAATTGCTTGGACATTTGGGACAAATTTTTCAAATCGTTTTCATTTAGATATTCGTAGAGGATCTCACGAATATCCGATGGCAGACCACTAATTGAAGGATAAGGACTTGCCCCCATATATGCTAATTGCTCATTGCGAACTGGTATAAAAACTTTGTCGCGCAATTGTGCTGTTAATTGGTCTAGATTTCTAAAATACCGCGATATCGGTTCATGCGAAGTTAAATGTGATATAATATAACGGTTAATTGACAAACAAGAGCTAGAACCCCTCAATGTAGTTGTAGTTGGAGTTAGAGTCACAAGTAGATAATTCCCACTTACAAGAGCCGTAAGTGTTGAGTAGAGAGAGCTATGCTTTACATTTCGATTTAGCACACGAAGCTCAATGGAGAAATATGTCTCATGAGGGCTCTTGAACTGATACATCGGTTTTTCCCTACTTAGAAACAATACATTTTTTGAGTGATAGGTAAGGAAAGGTGGAATTGTCGGAAGCACACGGCAAAACTTCTTAAATAGCTGTTTCGGCACAAAACCACACTCCAATGCAATAAGGTAAACAAGCAAAAATAGAATATGCGCTGGAGAGAGAACATCAATTTTATAGAGACGAAGTAACTGACGCAGATGAAGGGGAGAGCATTGTGTTGTGGTATCCGAAAGAAGTAATTGTTTCAAATTTATATCCTCCTGAATAATTTCGGTCGGTCTTGTATATCGAAATGCTGGAAGGAAAATATTACGATGTAATTGAGATGATCTGTGGAAAATCATGTGTTATAAATGTTTTGTGAATAAAAACTTAATACAATAAAGTATCTAAAATTAACCTCTTGACTTGACAAGGTACGATAATTTTCACATTTTGAATTCCGAATATAAATTTTGAACAATACGATACAAAAAAGGAATGAAGCTTGATAAATGAGTTAATATGTGTTGATCACATACCTAAATTTGAAGACGTCGTTGGCCCTTCCAACTGTGGCACCGGTTGTCCAATAATGAATAGCGACCTTGATGTGCAGGGCAGTTCAGGGCCACGTATTCGTAACCAACAATCTGTGCGAGCACAGCATCGAAAATTATTGCACGAAAAATTTCGATGTTCCATTGGCCAATTTTATGAACTGCAGCAATGCATGAATTTTCTTCTAATTTTACTAAATTTGCAACATTATTCCGAAAGAAAATAAAAATATGAAATAAGGAAATTTCAGTTGATTCTGACGATCTATCAACATCAGAAAAGAAGTTACAGAAGTGGCTTCCAAATTATTATGGCAATCAATTAAATAGGAAAAAAAAAACAATTATACTCTATAGCAACAGTTTGTAAAAGTATACAAATTGGGTATTCTCTGAAAATGCATTATAATAGCATTGTTAATAATGTAACACTAACTTATGTAAATACAAAAAATCCACAAATAAAATTTTGTGTGAAGGAGCTATATTCGAAGTACAATTGGCAAGAAGCAGAAATGACAAGTAATGAATGAAAAAAGGAATGTCAGACGAAGAATATATTTGCTATACTCGCATGAGAAGTATATGTATGTGTGATAACTTTTTGGTGTTTGTGTGGATGCGTGTATATGTCAATTGGACAGTTTCGAATTTTCTTTCATCCTTCAAAAAGTCGTGTTGTACCTCCAATAGCCACGATGGCGGCGAATTTAGGAAGAATCTGTGGCTCCAAATTATTAGGAACTTCGGGAGTTGTTGGTTTCCAACAGGTACTTCAACTATTTATCCAATTATTTTGAAATAAACGTGAAATTTGGTTAGGCAACGGTTCAAAGTGTGGGAGAAAACATAGCTCTTGGTTAGCAAAAATTATGCATTTTCAGAATTTGTATAAAATATTAAATTATATCTTAAAATGTTTAAGACAAAATACATACTCGGATGGGTATTACAAAACTGTGAATTTCGTGTCATACAAAATTTATGTTGCATTTGTAGGGGCTGGAAGGTTTTCTTGCATTGCTTACATAACAAGGCAGAATAGAGGCTATTATAGATGGAGTGACATATAAAAAAGTATTAGCTCATATGTTTCTAAGAGATTCCGCAGGCAACAAAACTTCAACTGTTTTTTAGTTTAATGAACTATAAATTTAATAGTAAATTTTTTTTGTTATTTCCAGGCCAAACAGCTGTCTACCGCTAAGGCATGGACGAATGGACAAAAAAAGGTTTGTGTAATGTAGTTTTTGCAAGTGACAGAATTACTACCAAACGAATTGTTTTTACAATCGGTGAAAATCGTTTTTAAAATATTTCTTACAAAAAGTATTCATTCTGAATATATTTCATAATGAAGCAGCAAACATAACCTCAACGTGTAATAGTTTGCCACAGTTGAAAGCTAATATTTGCAAGTTCTATTACTAATAAACAATCTTTGATTTGCAATTGTGACTTACGTAATTCCTTATATGATAAGAACTTTGTTTACTTGTAGCTCATCGCGTCGGTTGGTGCGGTCGCTGGAGGCTTAGGGGCTTTGCTGTTTGCTCTGGAAAGCTCAGTGGAAGCATCTGGCACAGAAGTACATCCACCAGCAATGCCATGGAGCCATAGGGGTATTATCTCCTCTCTGGACCATCAAAGGTGAGAAAGTAAAATCTTTATATACACAAATTATGTATATTCCAATGTTTTCCTTGTAGTATCCGCCGTGGCTACGAAGTGTATAAGCAGGTTTGTTCTGCCTGTCACTCTATGCGCTATATTGCTTACCGCAATTTGGTAGGTGTATCTCACACTGAGGCGGAAGCAAAGGCAGAAGCTGAAGAAATAATGGTAGATTATTAATATATAAATTATGAAATCGGAATTTAGATATCTCTTATTTTGATAAATGTAGGTTAGAGACGGTCCCGATGATACCGGAAACTATTACACTCGTCCGGGTAAACTTTCTGATTATTTCCCCTCCCCTTACCCGAACGAAGAGGCTGCTCGTGCTGCCAATAACGGTGCTTATCCACCAGACTTGAGCTACATTGTATCAGCTCGCAAAGGAGGTGAAGATTACGTATTTTCACTGCTTACTGGTTATTACGATGCTCCAGCTGGTGTGGTGTTGCGTGATGGACAGTACTTTAACCCGTACTTCCCTGGCGGTGCTATTTCCATGTCTCAAGTGCTATACAATGAGGTAGCTAAATCGTAAAAAAAGCTTTCTATACATTTGTCATAAATTACTGTTACTTTCAAGGTTATTGAGTACTCAGATGGTACACCTCCAACTACGAGTCAATTGGCAAAGGACGTAGCCACCTTCCTTAAATGGACTTCGGAGCCAGAACACGACGATCGCAAGCAGCTTACAATTAAGGCATTTGGAATTCTTGCTTTCTTGGGCGTAATCGCATACTATATCAAGAGACATAAGTGGTCAACTTTGAAATCTAGAAAGATCGTTTTTACACCCAAAGATAAGTAGATTGCTAAACACAATCCAAAAAAAATTAAGCATTAAAACTTCAGAAAAATTATGTAAACGAAATATGCCGAGCTAGCACCGTCATCAGCTGAAGAAAGCGCAAAACTTCACTGCAGGGAGAAATAATTGGCAGCAATCATAACTCCCAAAGAAACTTAGAAAATTGTTACAATTTAAACTAAAGATTACATTTAACGTAATTATTAAAGAATGAAAACCACAAATAAAATGCTAAATATACGAAAGAAATACTTGTTATCATTGAATAGAGAATATCTAATAATGCAAAGGGGCAAAAGTATAGTTCCGTTCTGACAATTATAGGCTGTTGAAACGCACGTCCTATTTACCTATTCATTAGAATTGGTTTTCACACTCGTCAGCCATTAAATCTCTCCCTCAGCTTTTAATTGAATCTCAAACAATTAAACACAATTTTTGAAATTATTTTAGGTATTGTTTTTAATGCATTTATTTACGTTTTAAGTATTATTTTATTTATAGTAATTAAGGAAAATAATCAAGAAATTTACACTTTCTTTTAGAAGCTGAATGGAAATGTAATTTATTCTACATTCAATTTACGCTTCATTAAATAGTCATCAACTGAGTGTTATACTTCCCCCACGATTCAGAGTAAAATGGGCTAGAAGGAGACAAATAAGAATGAAATGAAATAAATTCTATCTAAATTTTGTAGGCAGAGAAAGAATTTAACGTATTTGTAAAAAAAGTGTATACAACGTGAAATGTCAAATTATAAGAAATCAATATTTAAGAGAACCCCTCAGTGCGAATCAAAAGAACTTAAAATAGCGAATTTATATGCAGCAGCTTTGCCGCGCTATCAGAAAATTGCCGGCTCTTAGTGTTGCAGCATGAATGGTAAATTACTGCTGGTGCTATTTGATTTCAATGTTAAAAAGCTTCATTTAGATGCACGCTTATTGGCGCGCTTGAATGTTAACATCGTTCGCTACTTTATTTCATTTCCTTAACTTTGCATAATTTCTTTGCAGCACATTCAATATATTACGCTTTTCCTCTGTATCTATTGTTCAAGTTAATATTTCATTAATTAATAAATATTTAATGCGTTTATAATCTTAATTATGTTATGCAGTTGTTTTCCTCGGCCGTGTGTGTATTATAGGCGTGTGATACTAGTGTTTATGGTGTTAATGAATTCGTAAGTTGCTATGTTTCTTTGCATATTTCATTACTACTATAGTTCTTTTCCCCTACTTTCTACTGCTCAATGTTTCGCCTTGTTTTTACTTTTGTTTTTGTGTGTTTTTTTTTTTAGATACTTTAGATTTGTTTCAATTTCTTCCACTTATTATTATTACTATTTTCGTTACTTTATTTCTTTGATGGTTCCATTTTCGGTTCAACTTGTTTAATTAAATTTAAGAGAATGATAATAATAATAATAACATGTTCTCAGATGAGAATACGTTCAAGTGGTGGCGACTTATACAACGGCGACGACGTTTACGTAGAACATTTATGACTTCGGTTTTCGGCAACTTTGATGACAGCAACTGCAGGGCGACAGCATCAGCAGCGGCAACGGCAGTAGCGGCAGCTGTTGCTGAATTGTCAGTGACGACAATTGAGGTGATCAACTAAAAAACGCTGCCTTCTGGTGGTTGCGCCAATTTAAGATTCTCTTTGCAAGTCATGATTCTACGTATTTCTTGGAGCATTGATTTTATAGTGTATTCCCGATTCCATCTGGCTAGCATGGGTACTAATCTATGGTCAACCTAAAACCGATAAAAAAAATGGCGACTTTAATATCTCAAACTTGTCTTATGAACATTCCTAAATATAAACTTACCACACCGTTGCTCTGATTAATGCAGTTTATATTAATTCTTGTTAAAAACCGTATTGCGGGCGGTTCATCGGGATATCTATCGCCGCATTCAATTTTTAGGGAATACATTCTATTTTCATAGGGTGTCTGAGAAAGCAAGAGGCGAAATTGTACTTTAAATATTCAGAACCAATTATATTAGCTATTTTTTCTTACTCTAGGAGGGCCAATTATCATGCCGATCCAGTGTGTTAATGTCATGTCATCGTCATTTTCGAGGCCCCATGAAATCGTGCCATCTCCAACGCCTTTCTGGCCTTGATCCAACTCTTCCAGCAAGCGGAAATTTCGCGGAACCACTAAAACAAAGATACCCTTTTATTTAACAAAGTTCTTTTGAAAGATAATATCCCTAATAAAATTATATTAAATTTTACATTTATATTAGTTAATAGTTTTTGTTGTAAATTGAATAGTTTCGTAGTTTCCGTCAAAAACAAATATGAATGCCATAAACTCATCTATAATTAACAGTATTTATCAATCATTGGATATGTTTATTTCAAAAGCGAGAATAACGATTCACGCAAATGTGAATGAGTCATTACGAGGGATGTTGTACTGGAGCTTATTGAAAATCAACAGTCCTTTTGAGTAGCACATAAGGATATTTGAACGTTTAAATATTTGCTATTTGTAAGGAAATAGTTTAGCTTTTTATATGTTACTGCTGTTATTACGATAGTCGCTTAAAATACAAGATCAATAATTACGATTGAGTCACTTATGGCCATAATTTGCGTTCATGAAGACATATTTACAAATAATTAACGCTAGGAGAGATTTTTATTGTATTATACGCTTCGCACTTATAATGAATGACCTTAAACTATATGGGTGTTCTTCCAAATGTAAACCCTTCAATTCCTAATCTAATTAAATAAGGCCCTAAATATGTAGTATGAGTATAGTGGTGGAATAACAGCAACAAAAGTACTATTGTACATCAACTTGAAATAAAGACTGCATAAATTGAGATAATAAAAACTATGAAGAAGTAGTGAAAATGTTAAGTCATGGTGTTTAAAGGACTAATAAACCTGTAAATATTCCAGCTTAAATTTGTAAGAGTTTGAGTTATCTTCAAATTACGTTGATATTTCACATTACTTTAATTAATTTAATGGTATTACGATTCTTGATTTTTATCCATCTTATATATTTTTGATAAATGGGTAATTCTGCCTAGTTCGACTGGAACGCTTGTTATCGTCTGAGTACATTCATTATATATAAATATATGAAATAGGTGCTAACTTCCACCAAAATTTTGGTCAAAATTATTTTTTTTCCTAATAGCAGCCGTGTAACTACTGCAAGTGCTTTACATTTTGTACTTCAAATTGCTGTCAGCGAGTGGAGATGTGAAAAATCAAAAATCCAACAAAAAAAAAAACTTGCAAAGCTTCCGCAGTTCTCTATGGCACGTCACATGTTTTCGAAATGCTTCAATACAATCCCTTTTTGAACCAAAAACATCAAATTGTTTTCAACGCAGGCCACTTTAAATACTTCTAATGCACAATAATACGCGTTTTTTTTAATTTTTCCACGAAAAATTTTCTTACCAACACCGGTGCTCGCCATTGTGGACTTTTGCTATTTTTGTTCCACCTTCTTCGCTCTGACTTTTTTGCTCGCCGTTAACTTTTTTCTTCTCGTCGTCGTCGAATATTTTCAACAATGTCGCGGAAGTGGCACCACTTTGCGAATATCTTTTACTCACTTTCTCTTGTGCCAAATAAAATAATAAATTACGGGTGTGTAATATTTCTGTAGACAACTGTTTCCTTCACACTCGAAGCACCTTCGCAAAATACTCAACAATAACAATTGTCCAATGTCAAAAAATGATGCCAATGAATTATCTAAATCAATTCTATTATTGCCTTTAATTCAATTATCATTGTAAATCTATAACTGCAACAAGATTCAGTGGTAAATCAGCAATGTGTGTAGTGTCTTTAAAACGAAAATGCTATTACAATGGATTTTCATCTCATAGAGTTGCCAATCACAAGTTTATGCAATAAACCGAATGTCAGAGAATAATGGTGCCATTACCCATAACCAATTCTTCAGCAATACTGTTTTAATTCGATGAATTATGCAATATTGTTAAATGTACTTTTCGTTAAACGCAGATAACAAAAGTGTTATAAACAATATAATACTAATACAATTGTAAATCAAATAACGCAAAATTTAAAGGTATTGTTTGCATTAATCTGCCCAACTCATTACTATGCCAAATCTTTTATATATCAAACTCGAGAAATTAACCAAAACTTAATTGGGCTACACTGTAAAGGGATCTTTCACTGCTTTATCTTTACGTGCAGGGGCTTCTACTAGTCAGCTATTTCCGGTTTATCTGCACTTCAATCCAAACATTTGCAAACTGAAATTAAAATCGATTATACATATATAATGCTAAATCAATTTTTCTTAATTTATATACTCTTTTGTGCGTTTTTATGTCCTCTCTTATATATAATACATTTTCAAGTACAAAAAGTAGTTCAAGTACAAAAGTAGTTTCGAACATTTTAAAAAATTTTGCGCATAAAGGCAAAGTTCAATGCAAAAAAGTAAAATAAATTAATAGAAAATAAATATAAAAACTTTGTTAGGCTGGGAATTATCTCAACATCAATGAGAGTAGCATAATAACTATAGGACTATAACTATGTTGCTAAGGGCATTTACGCTATGTTTGTATTTGTTTTCTTGATACCATAGTAAAAAGTTTCCACCGGATAGCGGTTTAAAATGTTTGTCTAATAAACAATTGTTATAGCAATGGAAAATTTGTAGTATCCTCTCCCATAGTCCAATAACAATATTGTTTTTGTATCGTGTTTAAAAATTTGATCGAAGCAATTCTCTATTTTTATGCTCCAATAAATTTCGAAAACTTCCCAAATATTTTTAGTATATATTTTGAGCTAACCAAAACTGACCCAAATTGAAGTTTACAAGCATAAAATCAGTGATTTTTCATAAAATACGTATATTWTATATATATATAATTGCCGACACATATATAACATTACTACTATGGCTCATCATACTGTTATAACATTGGAGAAGCCTTTACAGCATTTGGCATTATCTGACTGGAATGGTCGTGTAAATCAATTACGGAATGTAGCCGATGCAAGGCGGAACGACGCTTTCAACATCCGACACAGTTCAAGAACCCTGCGCAATGAGACACGCATCGAAGGCGATTGGACGAATTACGAAACGAATGAGGCGTTGGCAGATCGGTAAGCGGATGCAAAGATATAGAAAATTAAGCACTGAATATACTTTTTGTATTTATCAGCATTGCAGAATTAGCGAGGTGGCGCGAAACTATCGCCAGAACATTCGAACGAATTGTGCGGGAAATGAAAATGCTCGAGGAGGAGAAGGCTTCTACGGAACGGGAACTTGAAGCTATGCAAACCCCTATTAGTGTTATTGCTGAATGTTTGACCATGCGCGATTGTCGCTTAGGGTCTGAGTTGACCTATGACGATGCTGATACGGAAATTAAAAACGAATTAGCTGTTATTGAGAATAATCAACGCCTTCTTGCTGATCAATGTCAGAGAGCTTGGGAGAAACTCGGCCGCCTAGAAGAGGTAAAATTCAAACTGGGGTTGGAAGTCGGAAACAAATCGGAGGCTGAAGAATTGGATGTAGCACAGCTTGATTTAAATAAATTTGCAGCCAATATTACTTACAAACCTGATCCAACGCGTAATCCAAAGAAGTAAGACCTCCATAGTTTTAAGATTGATGAAATTATTGACAATGTTGTTTATGATGTTTTCTAGTTGTTGCACCTATCAAGGGTGGTTGGAGCACACCAAGAATATGAAACAAATGGCTGAGAACGAATTGGCTGACACCTACGCTATACGAGAAGCATTGTTCGTGTGCCGTGAAAAGGCTCGCAACATGTTGATAACACAACAAGAACGCGCTGAGCATGCCATACGCAAGCGTATCTTCGAGACACAAAGAGCACGCAACGAACTTCAATGGCAACAAATGAAAGTAAGCCCTTTATTTACCATAAAAATATTATAAAATCAAAACTATTAAAAAAATCTGGCGTTCATGAAATTTCTGAAATATTTTCAGATGAAAGAAGAAATGGAGAAAGCGGTGTGTGAAATAAAAACTTTAGAGCAAGCGCTAAGAGATAAAACCGATGGGTTGAAATTAGCGGAAACCCGTTTGGAGAATAGAGCGCAACGTTCTGGTATGGAACTGTGCTTGGATGAGGCTCATGACCAGCTTTGTTTGGAGGTTCAGAAACTGCAGGCCATACGACGTCGTTTAATGGACAAAATTGATGAATCTAAAGCAAATTACAATTTGTTGGAAGAACATGCGCAGAAAATTGATGTTGATTTAGAGAACAAAGAGCATTCCTTAATGACAGACATTCGTGCCTTAGATTTACGCAAACGTCTAAAGGGTGGCGAATTTGGCCAAAAGCAAACAACACCAACTACGCAGACTGATCGTAATATTGTTCTAACACAAATGGAACATGAGATACCAAAAAATTAATTAATTTTTCCATATACATAAAAATATATGTATGCGATTTGATAACGTTGTCATATATCCATATATTGTTATATTGATGTTTTCGAATTTATAAATATACTAGATATGCATACCTAAAAATCTATATGTCAATCGAGTTTACAATTTAAAATTAAACGTACTATCTTATATAATACACAAAGACGAAATTCAAACATTTACATTAAAATTCATTTCAATTTTACTTAATGTTGGCTTGTGCTGTAATGTCCATTGTATGCTACTTTTTCCATCAATAACAGGATATTCTTGCTCGAATAATTGTACACCTTGTCGAACGAACATATCCCATTTAATAAACTTTCCTGGCTCAACTGGTTCTACAGGGCCCGTACTCACAATCGATTTACAACCTGATCCTCCATCGATATTCCATTCCGCCCATAACACGATCCCGTTGCATGTTCCATCACTACAAATGAAATTATATTTTTTAGCCATCTCGTAGAGTGTCGGGGTAAGAAATCATACCTTTCAGTTTGGATGTCACCGTTATTGGACTGCTCCCTCTTAAAGTTGTGGAAATCTACATGCAAAAGTTCTTGAGGTTTTGCCAACGCTTTGCAGGGATATTCCCAAAGGGGTTGTGCTTCAATTTTGTGGTTAGGCAGCTTTGCCCTTGCATGCTGTAATTTAAGTTATATAAAATATTTACTTAACGACATTTCGCAATTGCATCTCTTACCTTAATCATTCGATCAAAAGGCTTCAAGTCAAATCCTTCGCATTGCTGCACTGGTGTTCTGATTTTGTGAAGGTCGGTGAATTGTACAGGAACTGCGAATATTTTGGCGGAATTAGGTGCTATTTTTACTGTTGGTGGTAATTTCTCAATGATGTTTTGCAAAAGATGACCGAATTGAAAATTATCCCATGGAAATATAGCATTAAAAAAGTATGGCTCCCCAAAAACATGGGTTAACTGCGATAACTTCGACTCTGGTAGGCTATTTATATTTTCGATAAATTCCACATTTTTTATGTCGTTACTTTTCACTACAGACTCCATGAAACGTTTAGAAAAATAGTGATTTTCGGAGATTACAACTGATGTGACACCCATCTTTGCAGCAGACACACCCAAAATACATCCATCGCCAAGACACAGCACTAGCGAGTCTTTCGTTAAATTATTCTCCAAATAGTTTAGAAACTTTTTATTACGCACCGACTGATTCATTTGACCAATTCGTGAGCGAGGATAGGCGAGGTGAAGATTGCACGTACAAGCATGTCGTGAAACAGATGTATCCGACTTTAGCGTGTTATGCACATCAAACCAAAGCGAATATTCATCGTGGTTACAACTTAATACAAATTTTTCTCCAGTTCTGGTAATATGTTGTGGTTTTGGTATGTAATATATGGCTTGCATCCAATGATCCCGCCATGGTATTATATCGTCTCTGCTTTTGTAGTTCGGATGGGCCCAATATGGAGCACAGCTCAATACTAAATTATCCCCGGAGTACATACTTATATCCCACCAATAGAATATTAAATCAGTTGAACCTGGTTGTAAGGCAATCATTTCAAGTAATTGTTGTCGTTGTGACGGCACTGGTGTTTTAGACTTTCTATTGAAATCAAATTCAAAAATTTCGGCTGGTTTTGTTAGAGGAATATATTTTTCTAAGCTTAATTGTGAGAGTTGCATATCATGTACTGCAGCATCTCCTTTGCATTGCAATACATTCTTAGGTGGCTGTAGTAGAATATTGCCATCTAAATCAGCAACTATTTTCATGGTGTTCCATTGTGAGGCTAATGGTGATTGTACAACTTGGGCATAGCATGTCGCTTTCGATGGTATGCATACGACGTCGTCTGTTAGGAGTTCATTATGCGCATGGTTGTATATACTAATAGCACCTTCACCTATCAACTCAGTGTCTAATAACTCGGCCACCAATAGATTAGCTCTTTGCGGCATATCAACGCCGATACGCATTTCTGTTGAACGTTTCTTTACCAAACGCACTTTATCTCCAAAACCATTTACCGTAAATATGCGCTCAGCGCAATTCGCCATAGGCATAAATGCCTCGCATGCGGTTACTGTGTCAGCTCCGGCGGTTAGTGCCATCATTGCCAATATCCCTGTACCTGTTCCAATATCCAACACGTGGGCTTGACGACCGTCGGCATGCATGCGAGCAATAGCCATTCGTAATGCTTTGAAGTACTTTTGATTGCGCTCCTTGTCATGCAACATGTCTCCAAATCCTGTGCATGTTAGCTCCAAATCATAATCGTAATCATTGTCATGCACAGCCCATTCGTTCTGCGCTGTCAAAGGATTAAAAACTTGCGTGAAAACAGCCATATGATTATATTTTATACGGAATGTTTTGTATATGTTTTGAAACAACTTTACACGCATGGAACTTTTGTTTGTGCTGTCAACTAACCAATCAAAATCGTGTGTTGACAACAGCTGTTTGGCACAATGGAGCTCAGTGGTGCCAAGTTTCGTCATAAGTTTGAAACAAATGTATGCATACAAATATACAGAGATTTCATTACTTTATTTATAAAAAAAAATTAACTAAGATACATCTTATATTTGTTAATTACCAATAGGCGTTCAATTGTTTTATAACCTCTTTAATAATGTCAATATGGTTTGCGTGTAATTTTATGGTGCTATCAATATCCAGCCATTTTACGTTTGCGGCATCATCACCTGCTGACAGCGCCAGTTTTCCCACCTGAGCTCCGCTGTCATCATGAAAATTATAAGCCACTGTCTCCATCCATGCATTGTCTGTATTACGAAAATCATCTACATAACCTTTATATATTTCATTTCCTTTCGTGAAGAACTCTTCAATCACTTTTTGATTTTCTGAATTTGACCATGCAAAGGTATTTGATATAATTTATCTCAGCGGATTTCAACGAAACTACTGAACTTTTACTTACCGAAACTATCTAAAGCTTCTTCCATGAATTCGCGTTTAAGCGTTGCGGTTATTTTCTCACCAGGATCAACCATCCCTCCTGGTATGGCCCACATTTTATTATCATGGCGTTGTATTGCGACCATTTGTAAAATTTTTCTGTAAACATGTAAAATTTGTTATTTGTTTAAATGCAATTATTCCTAAAGACATTTACATTACTTTTGTGTATCAGTGTTTATAGATACGCTGCCATCAGTGTTGCGTTTCCATCGTGTAACCACCGGATCGGCTGCGTGATTTGGCCCCCAACGACCTAGTAATCCCCGACCACTCAACCCCGTACGTCCAAAGGGATTTATAGGAAGCCCATTTTCAATTTTGTAAATTCCGTTGAACGATACACGATTTACAGCGCCATCTAGCTGATTCCATTTGGGTTGAAAATCAGCACAACCGATGTCCGGATCGGCCCAAGGTTGTCCGTTTATATGTGCCGCAGTATAAATGGGTGGCGAATAGTTTACATACTCAGCTGACCAGAAGACAAAATCATCTGGAACAGGAAAACGTCGCAGAGTACTTTTCGGGTAAATATTATTACGGCAAGTAATGTGCTTAAATGTCCCTGCTTTTAGAATAGATGCCGACATTATACGTAAAATTGTAACTTGTAGCAGATTTAGGCAAATGTGTGCTTTGCGTGCTCTGGCTGGGCAAAAAGTTGAAGAAACAGACGATGAAAACAAACATTGCAAAACGGGCTATACTAAACGAACAGTACTCACAGATGCACCGGAAAAGTTAAGAGTACCAGTGCTACCAAGTTGAATATAATTTATTTAGAATACGACGGTTATTTGCAAATGTGATAAATGCAGAAAACGCAAAAGCACAGAAAAGTAACAAAACACATTATTATGTACCACACCATATTATTTTCATAACTTTTAAGTATATACGTATGTGCGGGTTGTTTGAACGAATACTCGTAGGTGTCTTATACTTCCGGTAAATTAACAATTGAGATGAGCTCCAACTTGTATGAACGCTTGTAATTTGTGCGCTCAATTCTTATTGTATTTCCAAGTTATTGGACTTGAGCCCGACCGAAGTTGTCATAAAAATACCTTTGTTATTTCGATTAAATCTCCGCCGATCAGAGTGCTTGGAAATGTGTTTGTGTACACTTCTTATTTTGCATGTATAAATGTGTATAGTATGTGTGTGTTCACATACTATGTGATGTTGTCGCAACTTGTAATAATTGGCTCCAAACAAATTTTAAGAAAGTAACTACCGTCTCGCATTTCATTTATTTTGCAGAGAGAGTCGCCGAGTAAGGAGCTCTGGAAATAACAGATTTTACTATTTATTACTAAGTACGTTGTATATTATTTGCTTTGGGAGTTCTATGTTAAAAATCAAAGTGAGTAATGTTCTGCTAATGTTGCTGTTCTGCATCTTCTTTCTACTCGCCGTACAAGCGGCAAAAAACGGATCCCGTCGCAATGTTGTGCTTATCATTTTTGACGACTTGCGCCCTGCGCTGGGCGGATATGGTGATCATTTGGCGCAAACCCCTCATTTAGACGCCTTCATCAAAGATAGTTACTACTTCACACGTGCTTATAGCCAGGTATGGAAGTTGTTAGTTGCATGAATTACTTCAAATGAAATAAGCTCAAATAATTGTAGAGAATTTAAGACCCATGTGATTTTCAGCAATCGCTCTGTGCTCCCAGTCGCAACTCTATGCTGACTGGCCGTCGTCCGGATACGCTGCATCTTTACGACTTTTACAATTACTGGCGCGATTTTACCGGAAACTTTTCGACTCTGCCACAGTATTTTAAAACACACAATTACTACACTTATGGCATTGGAAAAGTTTTCCATCCAGGCATTTCATCAAACAATACGGACGATTATCCCTACAGTTGGTCGGTGCCAGTGTTTCGGCCACAGAGCGAGAAGTACATGAATTCGCCAGTGTGTCCAGATGCTGGCGGAGTATTGCGGAAAAATCTAATCTGCCCAGTTCATCTGCAAACTCAACCGCTAAAGACACTGCCTGATATTGAGTCTACCGCTGAAGCTATACGCTTCGTCCGTGCTTATAAGCGTCGTAGGCCATTCTTTCTAGCAGTTGGCTTTCACAAACCGCACATTAATTTGCGCTTTCCGCAACAGTTCATCGATCAATTTCGCCTCGAAGACTTCAATAATTATACGACAGATACCAATAAGCCACAGGATATGCCGAATGTCGCTTGGAATCCATATATAGATGTGCGTTCGCGAGATGACTTCAAACATCAAAACATTTCCTTCCCTTATGGTCCGATTTCGCCGAGACATCGCTCCCAGATACGTCAGGCCTACTATGCCTCCGTTGCCTATGTGGACGACCTATTTGGGAAATTTATTGCACATCTAAATAAAAGCAACACCATCGTGTTAGTGACAAGTGACCATGGCTGGTCTTTGGGTGAACATGCAGAATGGGCTAAGTACAGTAATTTCGAAGTTTCTTTGCGCGTGCCACTCATTATCCGCAGTCCGGAGTTCCCAACAAATGAATTTCACCATATTCAGAGTATCGCTGAACTTATAGACATTTTTCCGACATTGGTGGACTTAGCACATTTGCCGCCATTGCCATCGTGTAACAAATCAGCACCTTCCACCCAGAACTTACTTTGTGGCGAAGGCAAAAGTTTATATCCATTGCTGCAGGAAGTCGGTAGGAATGAGGAGTACGTGGCTTTAAGCCAATATCCACGGCCAGGCATAGAACCTACAAAACACCCCAACAGCGATAAGCCGAAGCTTTCAAATATCAAGGTGATGGGCTATTCGCTACGAACTAACGTGTTTCGCTATACACTTTGGGTGCGTTTCAACGCACACGACTTCAGTAAAGGTAAGCATGTTATTGTATATTGCGAACCGCCTGGAGTGGACTTATATTTTCCTTGAGGCGAAGAATACTAATTGCAATATTTCATGTAATTTTTCTGTTCGCAGATTGGAATGAAATATTTGGTGAGGAATTGTACGATCATCGTTTGGATGAAGGCGAAGACGTCAATTTGGCTAAAATCCCCGAGTACAACGAAACACGCACGCTTCTGAGGCAACAATTAATAACAGCTTTTTCAAAATAACTGTGACATAAACAATTTTAATGGCGATTACCAATCGCTCCAGAAAAAGTATGATATATGTATATAGATAAGTTTGTAACCAAAGTATCTATTGTTTAATATTATATAGTCGTTTTTTTTTATATGTTTCTCCTTTAGTAGCCCCACTCTGTGCAACATTGAGTAAATTTAGCATAGCATTTAGCATTTGATGAAGTTCAGAAAACATAGAAACGACAAGTTATTTTTTTCATTTTTTTCACTTATCAATGGTCTTGTAACCAATGCTTCAAGGAGTACATTGCCATTCAGAAGAACAACAGAAGGCTGTGCGGATTACAGTCTTAGGTGGGTTGTTCATCAGGCTCCTTGAGCGCATCATGAGTGCTTTTCTCTTAGTATCATCAGCTCATAGTTTCATTAATGAAACATGAATTCCATTACTTGGAAATTGACATATTGGCTGCCATGTCACATGTATTCGTACGAATATTCACCTCATTGTACGACAGGGATTGTCGAACGTTGTAATGGTTTCCATGCATTTTTTAATATGCGACATGACTCTGATAATGTTTTCTGGAAACACAAAAACTCGTAACCTCGACTTATCACGTCCATGCCTTTGCACCATATAGCAGAACGGTAAAAATGAGTGACATTGGTCTTTGTTCGTCGAGAGAGAACTTTACTTCTCAATTGCCTACTCAGTCCGAAGTAGCATATATTTAAAAGAGTTATTATGCGTTGAATTTCGAGACTGACATTGTAGTTGGTGTTAATACTTCTTCAAAGACAGATGAAATTATCTACAAATTCGAAGACATGACTGTCAACAGTGTCATGGCAGCCAAGTCGAGAGTGCGGGGACTGTTTATTTGATCGGACCTATTTGTTTCGCTTCCTTATCCAGTCTAGTGAAAGCAGAACTAAGGCAGGATATTACCATGCTGAATTCGAGGAAGTGTTGGCAATGTCGCTAAAATCACAAGAATCGGATCATGCTAGAACTCAAGTGCAAAGTGTAAAGCCTCAATATAATCAATTTCTGTAAAAGGATATTTTTTGCACATCTCATACCGACTAATCATTCGTCTCATTCAGTGAAGTCAGCTCTCAGTTCCTACAGGGTCTCCAAAGAGGCTGGTCCCCAAGTTTTAAGGCAGTAGAGGTGTTTAGCTTAAGCGTTTACGTCCTCATGTGAAGAAACAATTTATTTATAGTCCACAAGACTCATTACGACCCCTGTTTTTTAAATTATAATTCATAATTTATCTTGACCATATAAAAGAGCTGGAAACTTGTATGTGTGAAATCGCATTACTTGTCGTAGAATGCAAATTCAGAAACTGTATATACATACATATATGTTGATACATACATATACTATACATATTTATGCATAAATATATTTGTACTGTGAAATTTACAGTCACTATTATATGAAATTAACCTCTGTGTTGACCCTCAATTTGGGTGGGGGTGAGTAGCTTAATCATGCAAGAAGGCCGTATTAAGGAGTAACAACAACATCCGAAACACATTCACTCGCTCACAAATGCTCCCACTCATGCTTTCACACACATACATATGTAAAAACATGTGCATATTTATATGCTGACAAATAGTAATTCCCATCAGCGCAACTGTTAACTGTGTCACTGTCAGTGTCAGCGGCGGTGCAATTTTCGTCGGATCGCCTCAAGACAGTTATGATTAACAAACGCGCAGTTCAAAGGCAGGCGGCGCCTGCTGTAATTGCCAATATGGACGGCATTTAATACAATCACTTGCCATGTACATTTGCACCACACATTAACACCACCACTCACACACACATGTTCACCACTTGAATGAAAGCGTGTTCCAAATGAGAGTAGGACTCCATGGAAATGCGTCATTTAGCGGCCGACCGATCTTGACATAGCGGGAATTTCACATGATGCCCACCGATGTCAATTCGATTAATTAATTAAACGCCGACTTTTGACACACAGTCTATGTGCCGTTATTTGTCAACCCAATGTGTGCGAAGGCTAGCAGGGGATTTTCGTATTTTTTTTTTACAATAATATTGGGTGCCATACAGACGACGATAAAATTACAACCCAGCGGGAAAGAATTGGCGACCATAAATATGGACAATAACAGGCGCATAAAAGCCATGAATCATGTTAGGCTACAACAACAATGCTACATAGTATACACCTTTTAAGTCGTCAATGGAATTCTATCATGATTCCACAATATTATGAAAAGATATTTCGGTCGTAACAGCAGAGGAATATTTAGAACGGTTATGACGGGTAAAATATTAAGGAGACCTCATTCACACTCGAATAAAAAGCGATTCAAAAGATTGTTATAAACCGCTCTCAAAGCCAAAACTCGCGTCACAACATACGCACACGTACAAGAACGATCACGATCGCCAGCGAGAGTGCTGCAAAAAGAAGACGTCGCAAGTTCTCGAAGTGGCCAAGGTAGAAAAAACGGTAAGCATGAAGTGAGACTGAATGAGAGTATTTATGAACGTACATATGTATGTGTGTATGCATTTATGTGAGTTTGTATGGACGTGTGGAGTGACGAAGAGCAGCATGGTTAAGAAGAAGAAGAAGAAGAGGAAACGTTTAATGACCTTAAAGGACGAATGAAGCAGAAACAAAAGTTGAAATTCAAACTCGAACAACAAGCAACGCCAGAGGAAAAAACAAACAACGGCGTAAAACGGGCAAAGCGTTCACTACACGCATGCAAAACAAGGCACAAAGCACTACAGCTACAACAACAATGCTGGCAATATCGATAAGCAGTAGCAGGCACTGCAATAAAAACTGAGATTTCTCTGAAATGGGTAGAAGAACGAAAAGCAAAAGTAAGAATATACCAAAGTCTGTCTGCATGTGTATGTGTGTGTGTATGATTATGACAGTAAACAGAAGAGAAACAGCGCCAAAGCAGAAACGGTGAAATATTAAAGCGGTTAATTGTTGTTGCACATTAAGGGTGATCCAGCTTCATTAAAGTAAGCAGTTGGCTTCAGTCACATTTGGAAAACTTGATGTCCAACATTAGAGAGTACATGTACTGAGCTTTCAGTGGAAGAATAAGATTTTTTCAAATGTGACCTGCTGTAACTGTCAATCTTGCACTTAGAGTAAGTAAAGAACTGTCAAAATGGTTGGACAAACCACTATTGCCTTCCAAGTCGTGTTTCCTGGGTTTTGAGAAACTCCGTGGGGACGTAGAAGGATATACGAATGAATTGCATCCGATCAAGAAACATTACTGTCTATATCGGTAAATCTAAAGCTTTTATTTCTTTGACTGCAGCCATGCCTTCAATGTTCGATTTATGTGTATACAGACGTTCCAACTTATTATAAGCCGATATTCATGATGAAGCCGCTAATGAACATTAAGTAATCCCTTCCTCATCTTTTGGCTGATTGTCACGATCGTCATCACGGTCATATTTTTGCTGCGAGCACTCTGACTTGACGTTGTTGTCGTCGTTGATGAGGTTTTACGGCGGGTATTTATTGCTCCTCGGCGTGTGTTGGTACACACCTATGTGGCTCCCACTTTGCCGGCCACATCTCCACTTCAAACTTTTGTAGGTGTTGGTATATACACAGGTATACATAAGCCTTTGTATCTTTATCATGTAAATGTAGGTGTGTGTGTGTGTGTATGTGTATGTGCGGCATTTTGGATTCACTCCATGCAGTTCGGGTATGTGGCTACGCGCTTTGGCGTATTTGCTGCGCGGCATGCCCGACTACTGTGCTACGCAAAGTATTGCCAGAGCACGCGTCCGTCCACGTTGTTGTTGGTATGAGCGGACATAAAAGACCTAAAGACCCACAAGATAAGTAAAAGAAACTCCAAAATAAGCAAGTACGCTTCGGGCAATCAGTTCAGCAGAAATGAAAGCAACAACAACTGTAAAAGTGAACAGCAAACACCAAAAGCAACATGTAACAAATTCACATTTTTTTCTCTTTTTAATTTATAATTATAATAAAGTTTTGAATCTTTTCACTTCTTTACTTTATTCAGCAGTTTCAATTATTCTCTTTTTCATTATTAAATTGTTTTTGCATTTTCTCGCTAATGATTGTTTTGTGCCTTAGGAGACACATATCTATATATGCATGTATGTATGTAYGCATGTAGATATATAAGCTTTTTCGAAATATTTGAAAAAGATGAATTCGACCAAACATTAAGCTCTTCGTCTTCTTTATTGACGTAGACATCGCTTATGTGGTTATAGCCGAGTTTACAACAGCACAAAAATTGCAGATTCCAAGTGTAGCCAGAGTTCTTCTCCACTTGGCCTTACCAAAGCGGTGGAGGTTTTCCTATTCCTCTGCTTTTTAATTACGTTTGAAATAATTGCGATAGACCTATCTAGCTAGAGGCAATCTCGGATCGGGGGACAAAATCTGGAAGCATTTGGTTTCCAAAGACCTTTTTCCCGGAATTAAAAATGGCCCAAGACGATTTTATTTTGAATAAACCCTTCGGAGAAATTACGATCATTCAAGTCATTCAAGTGAGCGATACAACCTTCGAAGTATTGACCAGCGTTATTTGAAACTACTACTTGGAAAGTTTTTAAACAGATGATCTGCTAACTGCTTTGGAACATAAGAGAAAAGCTGTAAAACCAATTAGTTGCCATTAAAGTATTATTATAGTTGTTATGATTGTGATTTTTCTAATTTTTCTCAGCTTTTCTTTAAAGAATTCCGAGCGCAAAAGCTGCCATTGGCTTAGTCCACTCTACAGCGTTCTTATTGATATCAATTTTCGCCTTTATGGCTGCATTTGTTGTAAACATAATTTTGCTTTTTTCTCGCAATTGTAGTTATTGTTTTTAATTGTGTTGTGAGACGTGCGCTTGACTAACCCCAGTGCGGCTTACAAGCTTGCTGACGAGCGCTTTATTTGCTCGTGTGTTTGTATATATGTACGTATGTATGTATTTGTTATCATACAACTTGAGCAAGGCAACGCGAATAAAAATAGCAGCTTTCACAGCATCAATTATGTCACTGTAGATATACTGCATATATGTATATATATGTATGTGTGGCAACTATGTTTGTATTCCTGTATTATATGGATGTACGTGTTTGTTTGTAAGAATTTGCTATAGCAACGTTGAAAACTACTATTAGCCAAGTTTTTAGATTTCTGAATTGCGTGCAAAATCGATCGCACTTTTGAACACACATACATATGTACATGCTATCCATATTCGCAGTTTTGTAATCAATTTTCATGTTGGTGAACAATAATGAAAGTTCAATATAATAAGATTTTTCAATGATACCAGCTCTTAAAAAAAGTTTTCGCGAATTTTATTATAAAATAAAAAGTGCACTACTTAAGAATATATGTATGTATCTTAAACCTTAGTACTGAGGCCTCTGATATTACCATCAATTATGTGGGTAAATAATATCTATGGAACTTTTGCTGAATAAGCGACCTGACATGCGCACAATTAAACTGTAAAGTTCAATAGACACGAAACGACCCATAAATGATGGTCTGGTTTGTATGTAAAGGGTGATCAATTTCAAGGTTCTCTACTTTTTTAAAGAAAA